AATATATATATATATATATATATATATATATATATATATATATATATATATATATATATATATATATATATATATATATATATATAAAAGGTAAAAGGCAGCCACTGCAAACTCAAGTAATCACAAACCAAAAATTATCATGAATTAGATAAATAGGGTCATCTAGATTTACCTTCAACTCTTCTAGTGCCACAACAATTTTCTTACACAGTGGCGTGTCAAAGAGTATGATGACTAATCAACAAGCTAGGAATAACCAGAAGCCATGAACCCAGCTTTAGTGTCGGTGAAAATGCACCTCAACAACAATCAGGTGAGCTACAAATAGTTGATAAACCTGATTGCATCAAAAAGGGGAAATTTTGATTTAGTTTCTATGAAGTCTTTGAACGATGAAGAACAAGAACGCCAAGGATAAACTGTTTAGAGATCATGGGGTGGAAATGTCAAACAGAGATAAAAAAATGATTGCTTCTATAGCACAGAGGATGGAAAGCGAAGGAGAAACAGTTGAGATATCATCAGGTGGAAGTGTTAAACAGGGATAAAAAATTATTACTTTATAACACAGAGGATGGCAAGAATCAAATTCATCAAATGCTAATAAAATTCATCCATATTTATCCACAAGTCCAATTAATTACTTCAAATATGCAGCTTCTTGACTTTGAATTTCCCCAAAACAGAGTTTTTTACATGCAAGTAAACTGACACCACAGCATTGAAAAAGCAACCCGTGTTTGCCTGGCATTTCATAGCAATAATTTCGGGAAATCATGTCACAAATTCCAAAACCATTTGCTTCTAAGTGGTGTTATATAAATATCTCCAATGATTCAACTGGAAATGTCAACTTAACTGCATGCATCTCCACAATCCGCATTTAGGTCCATTATCCAATTAAACAACCAAGAACCAAGAATGCCTTTAAATGAAGAGCTCCAAATAGATGGGATGAGTACAAGTACATCTAATTGGACATGAAAAAATATACCATCAGAATACTAATATTCAATTAGTGGATTTGTGATTCATTATAGTCAGAAAATATGAGGACCACAAAATCATTTCGTCCGAGGACTTATGTTGGGTCAAACAACAGAAAACAACAAACACTTTGACATTATGTGAAATTACATAGCATCCACAATAAGCTCATCTTTTTCTTATGCAGGTAAAAAGGTAATATTTCTCAACTTTCAGGAGGCTACCCTAAAATTTCTCGAGACACAAGTAGGTTCAAGCAGCAGAGTACCTTCTTTATTTTGAACTAAGCTCTATACTCATGGATACGCATCCATTTTGTAGAAGACCACTTATTTCCTTTGATAACAGGACATCCAGCTGCAATAAGTTTAACAACACAATTACCATCTCAGTAACAAAGCTGGTAAGTTAAACTTGGCTGCAGACAGCTAGAACAGTCTGTAAGAAGATTGTGGATGAATCTCTGAAGTGAAACAGTTCCAAAATCTAAACTTGATTTAGCTGATCAAACACTTAACAACTCACCGTGCAAACTAGATGGATCCAATGTGGCATCTGGCCTCATGCTCCAAAAGAGTAATGCATCTCCCATCTTAGGTTTCACAGAAATACCCTTCTTTGCACAGTCTGATAGCTCATTATACCCTGGCAAAGAGCTACTATTTACTTTGGCAGAAGGAAATACAGTTTCACCACCTTCCTCAACATCAGAACTGAGGAACAGAAATGGTTAGAAAAAAAGAGAAAAGATGTTAGAACATTTTTTTACAAACTGTGTCATTTACTGACAATGTTATTGGCCTCTGAGTATAATATAGGGTGTGATTCTTACAGATACATAAGTAGGGTAGCAATACGCTGACCCCCATTCTTGGTGTTGAATTCGTCGAGGAAGTAGTCAAAGTGCGGTTCATATTTCTGACCAACTTCATAATGGAGAACCTGAAGTCCCTCACCATTTTCTGTAAGAACATAAAGCCAAATTCTAGGTGAAAGATAAGAAAAAAAGTAAAAACTAACACCTAAGGCAAATGCTACTTCAAAAGAAACTAATACTACGGTAGAGATGTATAATTTATATTGGTTAGAAAATTAGTGGCATGATGAACTGTCTATTTACTAAGGTGCTGGAACATACTACTTCTATCACTGTAAAAGTCAGCCAATTGTATACTTTTTGAATTTGACATTGTTTTTCACTGAATAAATGTTATAAACTTAGAATATTCCAGGAGTGAATCAAACAAATGCCCTACAATAAAATGTTATCAAAATAGATTGATGATGTTTAAAATCCAGTACTACACAATTGCAGATTCCAGTCGTGGCATCTCACTATAAAATGAGAAGTACAAGCATTGCGACTACATATCATATCTAGTCAGCACACACAAATTACATATAAATTGAAAGCAACAGTCAAAATAACATTTCTTACCGAGAAAAATTCATGCTTACTACAAAAGATAGACCATGAGAAATCAAATATGTCTGTTAAGATGACATGAACCAGATGATTTCTCACTTTAAAAAGGAACAAATGTATATTAGAAGTACCACGATGTTTCATACTAAGCAACTCAATTCACAGATAATCTAACCCAAGACTTGCAAAGTACAATGCTCCTCAGGCCCTACAATGGCGGGAGTCAATCTGCATTGGGCTTCCCTTTCGTTCATAGAATCATTTTGATTAAAGATGATCACAAAAACCATGGAATGGCATATCAAGTAAAAGAATTGCTTTTATAGTACCCACAGACAAAGTTTTTCAGTTTGTATAATATACTGAATACACACCTACAGGTATGAAGGTATAATCGGCTATCCTTTTCTCGATCGTTCGGATAATTTTGTCTTGTCCTCTTCTAAGAAACATGCCTGAACTTGTCCGTACCCTGAAAAGAAATTAGTATGATTGAAGATGTAAAACAAGGAGACAATGTCTGACAAAATTAGAGCCTGCGAAATGCAAACCTGCTGTCTTTACTCTGACCAGTAGCAGTATCGACAACTGTTGACTTCTCCATGTGAGGCTTTGCCAATTCAGTCAGGTATTCACATTCTTTCTTGGACTAATAAAAATGAACACAATACCAGAGCCCATCACTTCCAACAGAATATCATTGGCGAACCTTGCTAAAGGTATTACTTGCATAATCAGACAGCTTTTAAAAGATAATTTGAGGTCACCAAAGCAAGAATAACAAGATAAAAAAGAACTTTTAGACCTAGAATCACACACTTATATCTGGTTTTCCCAGGTCACCATATGAGAAGGATCAAGAGTGAGGGTAAAGAAACAATGTGTAAAACATCTAGGAGTCCGCCGTATTGGAAAGTTTTATATAAATCAAGCAAACTTACACAAAGCTGTAAAAAAGATAAAAAAGAATGAGGGTATGTCAAATATGGAAGATTTGAAGCTATGACCGATGCAAAGGTATGCAACATGGACAGCATTCAACGAACTCCCACCCAGGACCAGTATATGTATCTACACGTAGAATAAAATCTTTCTTTTTCAACAAGGGACCAACCAACTGTTCATGGTATGGTAAAATCATGTCTAGACCTTAGGGCAACAACATATAGAACACTTGATTGTGTCAAAGGCAGAAAATGTGATATGTGAAAAATCAAAGAATGATAACAACTGCAAGAACAGATATAGCAGGTCAGTCTGAAGTGTATCATCACAAGAGAAAGTTGGAAAACACCTTTCAAGACTAATTTAGCAGGTAATCTTAACAAAGATGTGAGCGAGTTCCTCGGTGGTGGATATGGGTATGTGTGGGATTGGCAAATGACCTTCTACCGGTGGATTCCTTGTAGAGGGGTTGACAAATATGGTTTTGGTATCCTTTGACTGAGAAGTAATCTTAAGGTCAATGCACAACCAGTTGACCATGATATCGAAGGACTTGCGAGCATTCCCACTGATCATGATGTGAAAGATTGAGATATATTAGAAAGAAGCCGTCGGTAACCTAGTTCGCTCGGCAATCTTGCATCAGGCCAGAGAATTTGACAGGACATAAATATGTGATCATAATTCATTAATGTAAAGCCTAGATTAGGAGAGTCGCCACAAAGAGAGAGGTGATAAATAGTGGAATTTTCACATTTATCGGATCTATAAATGAAGCTAGTTTTTAGAATTACTGCCATTTTAATTTCTCCCCAAAAATTAAAACAGAGCGCATTGCTTTTTAGGTTTGGAATGACAACTAAAATTGGTACCTTTCAACAGTTTTCTAACACGCATTTCAGGAAATCTAGGAGCAGAGACGGGAATCAACATGAACGGAGAAAAGCAGCGGATGAAATATACCAACCAGAAAGTTGTGATATATAAACGCCCTGGGCTCCCACGAGAGCACCTCCGTCCACTGATCCCCCCTCTCCCCCATCCCATCCCTCCTACAAAACCCGAAAACGCAATCAATGCTGACGGAAAGAGACCGCAGATCCAGGGCGAAGCGTCAACAGATCGGGTCGGGAGTGAAAAAGAACGCACATCTCGTGGATAGATCGATGGGGGCGGTGGTCTAGCTTGGGTGGGCCGTCGGAGTTCACGGGAAGCGAGAAGATCCCGAGGGCGAGGAGCATCAGGAGGACCACCGACGCGGTCAGGAGAGCTGCCAGGATCAGCGTGAACGGGGAGGATCTGCGGCCGGGAAGCTTCCGGGGGTGCCGCGCGCCCCTCGCCATGGTCGCCGCCAGCACAGCAGCCACCTTTGGGAGATCTAGACCGGAAGAGAAGAAGGCGAGGAAGACTGAAGCCGTCTGCGGTTCGCTTCTTTGTTCTTAAACTAAACTACGTCTTTTGAACTTTCTTCAAACTCTTATATTATTTTTTTAAAAAAAATACTTAAAATATTTTTAATAACTTGATCAAAGGTAAATTTTCGGAAAAGATCCCTTAGTCTCAGTTTTGGGAAATTGATGTGGAGCTCCCCCTTTTTAAAAACATTTCTACAAGAGTCTCAAATTTTTAAAATAGCAAAAATAACCTCCAATAACTTTTTATTTTTCTCCCCTTAAGATTTATCTTTCTCTCTCTAACTAACTCTTTCGATAAATCAACCGATACTATTAAAAACATTTATTAGATGATATCATAATTCTATTAAGGCCTTAAAACTCCATCCCATAAATATCCCAAAATCCCTTCCCATGATTTATAGCCTTAGAGAACAAAACCTGTTCATACATCTTATCCGACCACAGACGATAAATATTATGGTGGCCAGAGTCAGATGGGAAACTGTTCATACATCTTATCCTGCTCCTACTTGCTTGCACTATCTGTAATAGATATGCCTCGCAGGAACTGAGACCAGAACTCTCCAACTGTAAAATTAGAGTTTATCACGATTTCATTTTGTCCGAAAAATAGGCAGAATTATGGAACTGATAACCGAAATGCATTGTAACTTTCTTGCAGCTTACAATAACATAGTAAAAAAAATAATAATGTGGAATATGAGGAAACCTAAGACTGCAAAGAAAGGCATGACAGCGTAAGAAATCTCAGATGACTTCCAACTTTAAATTTGTACAACAATGCTGGTTTCATAATTTGATAGTCTAAAAAGTTCCGTAGAGATATCTAAGTCTTCGAAGCCGATTGGTTCTCTTGCAAATCAACCAAGCTACTGCAGAAGCGAACAATGATGCAGCCCCACATAGCCATTTAGCAAGCAACAAAACTGCAACAGGATCAACCTAGCAAGTAGTAGCTGAGAAACATTTGAATGCAAGAGCTTCAATAGCTAAAGAGACTCCATTATTGCAGAGCAGCTGGCTTCATGTCTGTACTGGAAAGCCAAAATTTTGAAATGTTCTAATTTCACCACCCCAGCCTGCAGTCACAATCGCCAATCCCCAGGCTGACATACTTTGGGCTGTTGTGCCTGCACTGCAAAAATCACCATTGCATTGAGGACTCTGTTTATTAGCTGTCATGAGCTCTTCAGGCCAAGTTGCAGAAGCCCTATCGCTAAACCGATTCAAGTTTGTATTGCGAAGGGTACTATGCTGGTGGGAATCAATGCAACGGCAAACGAGTGAAGGTGAAAGCTGGGGTCTGTTAGTCCCTGCCATTGATGGTGCATTTGTTTGACATTCTCCATCGAGCTCATCCTGTTTGTTGGGGCAAGCTCTCACCATTTTCCTCGTACTGGTGTTTGGCCAAGGAGCAGCCACAGTCACACCCTTGGTGTGGAAATATTCGTAAGATTGTGTCATGGTGGTAGCATCTTTGCTTTTGCTTATTCGGGAATCGTCATATCTCCATACATAGACATGAGAGTCCTCACTAGCACAAATCACATGCTTTCCATTAGTAGTCAAGCAAGCTGATATTTGGCTGCTTGTGTTGCGAAACCCTGAAACAGAATAGTAACATCACTCCAAAAACAAGAATATGTATAACAACAGATCATTTACTTCCAAATTATTGCATGATTTATGGCTATTGGAGTATCCACAAACTAAAAACAACTTGAGTCCAATTTTATGACAAAAAGACTTTCATGTTCGAGAATTGATGGTTTAGCTTTCACCCCAAAAAAAAAAAAAAGAGAGCAGAAAGGTGAAACTTGTCTCACAAGCGAGCACATTTCATCAAGTATTTTGTTCAATCATTGCAATTGTGTTCACAAATATTGCAGTTAGCATTTCAGATAGTTATCACAAAGAAAAAATCTATTTATATTCTCTTTTTAATACGTTCTCCCCGACGTAATATCACATGTCCAAACTCCAAAGAGAAGTTGGATTTTGTGATCATTTTCCTGTGTTAGAACTACATATTACTGCCAAAGCAATCTCTATTCTATTGTTCAAAACCTGAAATGTATCCACATCCCTGACATGACAAACTAATACATATATCCAATATCAAAAGAAATGACAGTAACTTCTTATAGTGAAAAACAAAGCTTTAATTTTGACTGCAAAAAATACTAAATGCCTCAAAAGAAACTAAGTCTTTCTTTGTTTAGCTGTCATTTTCCAATTGTAGCAATATGGTTGTCCTTGTGATGTCAACACAAATCTTGTGACTGTTTTACTGTTTTAATACTTTAAAAATAATCAAAAGAGTCTTTGTTTGTAATAACTGAATCCAACTTTTCAAATTTCTCATCATTTCAGAGGAAAAAAACAGATTAATAACATGGATTATGATATATATGATTCATATTAGCATTAGCCTTAATTGGTAAAAGGACAACGCCATGGAAAAAAACTCGCAAATACTAACTGAAGTAGACTGTTTGATCCTTAATGAGTTGGTAAAATATGATTGTTTTGCAAGATGATGACTTTAGTAGAATAACAATGTTTTGGTAGAATATGATTGCTGTGCTAGATGATGACTCCAATAAAAAAACATTTTTTCTAAATATAAGCTCAGAAAGGCATTCTCATGCAAGATCTGAGAAACTCTTCAAGAGTTTAATATGTGGGTTGTTATTCTTTTCTTTAGACTAGTTATTAGCAACGATTTAAAAAGGCGCTCGGGCGCTCGCCTAGGCGCTCGGGCGAGGCGAGCGCCCGAGCCCAAGCGCTGGGCGCTTCGGGCGAGCGCCTGAGTTAACCAAGGCGACCGGGCCAAGATTTTAGGTCTGGTTCGATCCTGGTTCGATCTATAATGGTTAGTTGGTTCAATCAAACCAACTAAAACTGATATAAGTGACAAACAAACCGTAACCCTCGCCGCTGTCGATCCCGTTGCTCGCCGCTGTCGCCGCTCGTAAACGCTGCCACTGTTGCCACTCGCAAACGCTGCCGCTCGCGCCTCTCGCTACTCACCGCTCCTGCTCCCGCTGCCGCTGCTCACCGCTGTCGCTGCTCGCAAACGCTGCCGCTGTCACCGCTCCCGCCTCTTGCTCCTGCTCCTGCTGCCGCTGCTCGCAAACGCTGCCGTTGTTGCCGCTCGCGCCTCCCGCTGCTCGCTGCTCCCGCTGCTGTCGCCGCTCACCGCTACCGCTTCCTCTTTTCTCAGTCAGCAGGCTCAACATCCCTTTACACTTCCTTTTAACAGTATATGTATACTGTATACTGTTAAATGTTAATATTATTAAGTTTATTTGAAATGATTAATTTTTAATATTGTTAATAGATTAATAATATATTATTTTAATTTTAATATTGTTAATTTTTATTTATTTGAAATTATTGCTAGGTTTCAACATAAATGACAAGTGTACAGAGCAACTCAATAGAGTCTCCAATGGCATAAAAAAAGATCCTGCATGGAAGTATAATTATTTGAAGGATCCGAAAAATCCTAATGCAGTGACTTGCATATTCTGCGATAAGACTACTAGAGGTGATATTTTTCGTGCAAAACAACATCTAGTAGGAAATTTCAAGAATACAACAGCTTGCAAAAAGTGTCCACCTGAGGTAAAAGAAGAGTTGCTGAGTTATATGAATGAAAAGAAGACACAAAAGAATGAATCTTACAGGAATTTACCAGAAGACAATGTTGAACATCTCAGGGATGAAGAAGAAGATTATTTTATGAGTATTAACCCAAGTGGAAAAAGAGTATACGACAAAAAAAGAAAAGAAGTTGTGAGTACTAATAAGGGTAAAAAAGGACCGATGGATCTATATATGTTTTAAGGATCCCAAAAACAACAAGGGCAAGCAGGAGGCTCAAAATTTAGACAAACAAATATAAGTGATGCTTGTGATAAAGAAATAAGAGGAAGAACAATTCAACACATTGCTCGCTTCTTCTATCAGGCTGGTCTTCCCCTTAGTACAACTCGTTTAGACAGTTTTAAGGATATGATTGAAGCTATTGGAAGATATGGTGCAGGATTAAAACCTCCAAGTTATTATAAGATGCGAGTTCTATTGCTGCAAAAAGAATTGAATTATACAAATGACTTACTAAAGGGTCATAAATTATCATGAGCAATACATAGTTACTCTATTATGTCAGATGTTTGGACTGACAGGAGGCGCAGGAGTATAATTAATTTTATGGTTAATTGTTCTTTAGGGATTATGTTTGTGAAGTCAATAGATGCTTCATCTTTTGTAAAATCTGGAGACAAGATATATGATTTACTTGACAACTTCGTGGAAGAAATTGGAGAACAAAATGTCGTTCAAATCATAACCGACAACGGAAGCAACTATGTTTTAGCTGGTAATATTCATCTTTTGAATTTGTTAATTATTTTATCTTCAATTAAGTGTGTTAAACTCTTAAGTCTTATCATTTTTGTTATCCTTTATCTCAGGTAAATTGCTTGAATAAAAAAGACAACACTTGTATTGGACTTCATGTGTAGCACATTGTATTGATTTAATGTTGGAGGATATTGGAAAGATCTTAGAAATCAAGAAAACCTTAGAAAGGGCAATTTTTGTTGTTGGATTTCTTTATAATCACATTGGAGCTTTGAATCTGATGAGAGAATTTACAGGGAATAAAGAATTAGTGAGACATGGTGTCACCAGATTTGCTACTTCATTCTTGACATTACAGAGCGTGCATCGTCAAAAACATAATCTGAGAAACATGTTTACCTCTGAGAAATGGGTGACAAGCAAATGGGCAAAAGAAGAAAAAACAAGAGGGTTGTTGATATCATTTTAATGTCATCCTTTTGGAATCATGTAGTTTATATATTAAAGGTAATGGACCCTCTTGTTCGAGTCCTTCGATTGGTGGATAATGAAAATAAGCCTACAATGAGATATATTTATGAGGCTATGGATAGAGCAAAAGAGACGATTAAAAAATCTTTTAATGAAAATGAAGAAAAATATAAGAAAATTCTTACAATCATTGACGAAAGATGGAATTGTCAACTTCATCGTCCCTTACATGCAGCAAGATATTATTTGAATCCTGAATTCTTTTATAAGATTAAATTTGTTAGATTTAATGCAAAAGTTTTGGGTGGGTTATATCAGTACGTTGCAAGATTTGTTCTCAGCCTTGAGGTTCAAGACAAAATTATTCATGAATTATCTTTATATAAAAAAACCGAAGGTCTTTTTGGAATTCCAATTGTCGTTCGATCCAGGACAATTACGTCTCCAGGTATTAATAATTTGATATAATTAATTTCATATATATTATGTTACTATATTATTGCTAATAATAACATAAATTTTGCAGCTGAATGGTGGAGCCTAATAATTTGAAATTCTACCCCGAACTTACAGCAATTTGCTATCAAAGTACTTAGTTTGATATATAGTGCTTCGGGTTGTGAGCGAAATTAAAATGTCTTTGAGCATATAAGGATCACTAAATATTTTTATTTTAATTAATTTATTTATTTAGATAGATGTATTAATATATTTTTAAATTATATGACATGACAGATTCACTCGAAGAGAAGAAATCGATTGGAACATCAACGATTGTACGATCTTGTTTACATAAAGTATAATCAAGCTTTGAAGGCTCGTCATGATTTGTAAAATAGATTTGATTCAATCTCATTGCAAGATATTGATGATTCAAATGAGTAGTTAGTAGGAGAAATGGGTGCTAACTTGCAAGATGCTGAAGACGAGCTTGTATTTGAAGATGATAGATTGACATGGGGAGATGTGACAAGAGCTTCAGGTGTTGGAGAATTACAAACATATACAAGACAGATGTCAAAAAGAAAAATGAGTGCAAAAGCATCAAGCTCGGCTCCTACTATTGTTGAAGACATAGAGAATGAAACATATCTTGATGAAAACGAAGAAGTTGAAAGACAAGAGGAAGAAGACGAATTCAATGAAGATGATTTGTGTGAAAATGACGATAATATTGATTATGATGAATGATTTTGATGTAAAATTTTATTGTTTTGAATTTTGAAACCTTTTGTTAATGTGACATTGTGATTTTGTATCTTAGATTTTCTTAATTTAATAGTATATTTTTATTTAAAATTTTAAATAATTATATTTATTAATTATATTATATATTTTTATATTTTAGCGCCTCGCTTCTCTCATGCGAGCGCCTAGCGCCTCGGGTGTTTTTGGACCTTGGCACCTTTTGACACCTAGCGCTTTTTAAATCACTGGTTATTAGGCAACAAGGCAACCTCAACTGGACAGATAGGAATTTGCTAAGAAATTCAGTTATTCAGCATTCAAATAATTATGACATTACTTGTTGTGCATAATCTAAATAAGGCAGTGATTCCAAAAATTCTTCCACTAGGTATCAAAGCAAAATATTTTTACCTTTAAATTTGTGGACCAGTTCATCACCATCAAGAACCCTAATTCGTGAATCTGCAGATGTTACTAGCACCTTTGAGGAATTGCCAGGGGCAAACTGTTGAATACAACTAATCAGAAACCGTAGCCGTATCCTATCTTATTCTTCAACAGAGAAGGAAAACCTCAAAACTACAAAAATCTTCAATAAACAGTTTGCAGATTACACCAGAATACCTGGAAACCAGTGATTTTCTTGTGTTTAGACTTCCCTTTTCTGCTTTGCAAGTCAACTTGAGTTTTCTGAAGAAGCCTATTGTCTAAGAGCAATTGAAGACAATAAAACCATTGGCAAATGAAGACAACAACAGCTGATTTGAGACAAATTCAAACAAAAATGTAGAGTATTAATTGCTTCATACCAGATGTGTCGTACAAGTGGCAAGTCCCCTTGTGTGAACCAACTAGAGCACCCTGCAAGATAACAAGTGAAAGCATTATTTAAAACATAAATAAAGACACAATCAAAAAGCAAACTTTGAGAAGTATGTCCTTTAATCGGAAAAAAGATGTTAATTGTTAAGTCTATGAACCTGGCCATCAGGGGTATAACAAGCAGCAGTGACCATCTCATGCAAATCATTCCAATCAACAACTTGACGTTCTGGAATACTCCATATTCGGACTTTCTCATCAAGAGAACCACTGATGAAGTATCGGTCATCAACGGGATTAAACTGAATGCAAGTTACTGCATAAAGCCAAAATCAAGAAACATCATAGCAACATAAGCAAAATCAGTAAAAGCCAAAACACCAAGAAGGGAAGAAAAAGAAAAAAAGAAAAAGAGAGTAAAGAATGGGATATCATTAAACATGATTTCAACTTACCATAGTCACTATGTGAGAATACTTTTAAACAGGAATTGCTTGACATGTGCCAAAGTCGAACTGTTTTGTCCATTGAAGACGAAAGCAGATACTGATAAAATTCAAGCAGATAAAGCATTTTACAAAGCAGTTTTATAATCAGTGTGGCAAAACTCCTAAAGTCCAAACATCATTTTCACAAACACGTACTGCCAGGGAAACTAAATAGCGCATAGAAGAAATACAAAATTGTAACAAGAGCTTTAGCTACTTCTATCAGGATTTCTGGAACTAACAAAGTATATGATTAACCTGCAGCATAGGTGGTATCTGTCAATGGAAGTAATAGAAGAGAGGTACTCTACCAGACAATCAAATTTATTTTAATGGCAACATATTTTATAAGTTTAATATAACTTCTTCAGTGACACAAGAAATACATAAGGCTGAACTTATCACCATTACAAGATTGCTTGGATGCAACCTGAGTGTGAAAGGATGGAGTAATGGAAAATAGTCTCCTAGTGTGCAAATGTAAGGTGGCACATAATTTACACTCTTTCCAGACCTTGCTTTGGTGAAAGCCTTGTTCTTTTGATTGCCCTTTCAGAGACCCTATACTCTTCAAAGGAATTTATCAAAGCACAACCATATCAGAAGCATCACGGAGATAGACCAAATGTGTAAATTTAAATTTTCTCAAACGTGTATGAAAATAGGCTAAAAATAATGCATAAGGTTGCACAGAGGGCCTGTTTATGTGTCAACCAATTACTATCTTAAATGCAGACAACCATTATCTCTCATATCAGAGGAGATCGAAAACTCCAATTCAGGAGGAAAACCATCATTCCAATACACCCTTAGCTATTAGCTCTCACAAAACTTACTAAGCAGTGAGGCAGTTCGATTTCCCTCCTTATAGTGAGGCAGTTCGATTTCCCTCCTTATAAGTATGCATATTTTCACACTCCTCAAAACAACCAAGCAGCTCACAAATATTTATATATAATACACATTCACAATGGCCTATGGTGGATTGGCATTTCAATTATGAAATTACAGTTTTTATACGTCTTCCACGAGATGGTGCTAACATGTATTTGCCAAATACTTTTAGAAATGTCAATCATAAATTACCCTCAAATAAACTTTAAACATTTTTATGATGCTGGATAAACATGTCTTGTGATGACTTTCCCTTATTGTACAGCATTAACACATCACTCTTTATATTCATACTTTCATATTCATACATGATTTAATAACTGAATCAGATCAGGACAGATTTTGATGGCTTCAGCCATCTTACAAATATGCATCAACAATTTTATCAACTAACAATCTGTTTCGGCAGTTTGAATGGCTTCTGTTAAATGTCACATTTATAGCTAGGGAGACCCTATTCGTATCAGCGAATCGTGGTTTACATAAAATTGATCAAAGTAGAAATCATGGTTACAATTTCTCTAGGAACCAATGACCAAAAATCAAAATACGATGTGAGAATTACTTGCCCATAGAGAAAAATCAGCATGTCATCCCCTTTAAATTCATTCATGATTACCAAATTGACCATGATGATGACAATTTTCATACAATATGACAGTTAACATGTTCATTACTTAAGAACCTATGTTGATCTGAATGTGCTAACATCAATCCATTTTCATGATCAACTTTCACAAGAATAAAGCGACTTTTAATTTTGTTGAACCTGCCTAACAATGAGCAGCAAAATTGGTCCAATAACAAAGGTAAAACTTTTGCTCATGCTCTAGCGGACCAACTTACTACACATATCATCACGATTCACAATTCACTGGTAAATGGTAATATTATTCCAAGCCTTCAAAAGTCCAATTGAACCAAACCATGGAAACATAGATCGTTATCTATAGCTTCGTGATCTCAGCTACAATCAAATTACTAATTATTATAAGCAACAGCTGGGTGTACTTTCACAAAAGTCTCACAACATTGGACAATATTTCAAATTAGTAGTTCTCAGGATCCTATTAACTTAAAGCATGTATGACTTTTATCAGAACTTACATTTTTAAGAAATTAAACTAATAAATTACATGATCAGGATAAACTTTTTTATGCCCTGCAAATTCTTTTTCTGACTGCAAATAGGTTTATGACTGCATTCCATCAAAGAATCTTTCAAATTCTAATACAGATTTAATACCATGTATAATTACAATATTCACAAATAATATAGTTATTTCTAGTTCTATTTGTCAATAAGGAACTATTAAATTCATTCGGCTTATAGATTTCACATGAAAGAATTAAAAGACAATTCTGGTTCCAGATCCCAGGTTGTTTAAAATCCATGAACAAGATGAACAATTTCTTAGTACTTTCTATCATCAACCCTAAATACTGAAAACTAAGATCACATATCTTTTGCCTGAAGACAAACCTATTTCATCCATATGCAGAGATGTAATCAAAGAAAATAAGATATACCTGCGATTTGGACCAAGAGAGATCAAGGACATCATCTAGGTGTCCTCGGAAAGAGTGCACAGGCTTCTCTGACAGAGAAAACAAATAATCTGGTACCACCAGAGGGTCCAAACACAGAGATTTCCTACTGCCCACGACCTTTGCTCTTCTCTCCTTTTCCCAGTGGTTCCTCTCTGGATTAGCCAAAGACAATCGCTCCGGCAAACCTTCGATAACCGACACAATAGATGGATTGCAACTATCATTCCCCCATGAAGCCTTATCATTCAGCAAATCTCCCATGCTGTCAATCTCCAAGACCTCCGACACATGGATGACTCGATCCTCCCCTGCACTGGCCAAGTAGCGCCCATCCAAGCTGAATTTGATGCTCCAGATGGACCCATTATGCGCCTGAAGTTCCTGGCTCATGAACAACCCACTGAGGTCTTTTTGGGACTTACCATACTGCCGGACTTTAATTTTCTTGAGGTCATGACGGAGGCAATGGGAACCGTCCAGGCTATCATCGGTGGCCGAGCTCGGCCTCCTCCCTCCCTTCTCTGACGAAGAATCTTTCTCATCACTGCTCCTGCGGTCGCGGTTGTGCCCTCTGCCTACCATGGTCCCAGCTACATTCTTGATGCTTCTGAGCCAACTTCCCCTCTTCTTCCACCTCGACCCTCCCCCGGACCCACCGCCACCAGGGCCTCCGGGGTGGCCGCTGCTGTTGGTGGAGTCCTCCAAATTCTGACGCCTCATCAATTCTTGAACGATGGGGGATTTCCCGACCCACAACTCGAACTCCTCCACCGTGAGCTGCCGTCCTGTCCCGACCTCGCTGAGCGTGTTCCACATCCCGTCCTCGCGGAACTCCTTCACCAGGAATTCCCTCCCGTCGTCGAGACTCTTGATCAAGTAACGGGGGTCGTCGCACAAATTTTCTCCATCGACCCGGCGATTGCTCTGGGAGACCTCAAGAATCCGAAATCTCGCGTCGAGAGGCGGCTTTCTCGAGAACTGCTGCTGGGTTAGGGGTTTGCTCCGTGGACCAGGAACCACGGAGCAGTCGGATCGGGACCGGGCATTTCCGGAGGGGAAGGCAGGGATGGGGTCAGGGGAGGAGGCGGATCTACCCATCCCAGGGTCCCGGATCGGAGCGATGGCGCCGGTGGGTCCGGGGCGGGAGAGGGCGGGGTCGCCGGCGAGGCCGAGGTGGCGGAGGAGGCGGCGGCGGCGCTCCTCGACGGAGGCCGGTTCGGAGAACCAGACGTCGAGGGAGCGCAGCGGGGGGAGGCGGAGGCGGCCCCGGCGGCGGTGCCCGACCACAGAGGACTCATCATCGGAGGCGGAGGCGGAGGTGGAGCACGACGACGACAGGATCCGGTCCAAGGACTCATAGAACTCCTCCTCTTCCTCCTCCTGCGGCGAACCGCTGCTGGTCGTCGTCATAACGGGCATTCGGATCGCGAGGCGAGGGGGCAAAGCGGTTCGGAGCGGGATTTATATGCCACGACGGAAGGAGAGGGAAGGAGCGAAGACCGAGGGGATATGATATGATGATGCTGTTGCTGTAGCTCGTAGTTGTTGTTGCCGCTGTTAAGGGGGAGGAGTAGCCGTCGTACAGTAGTCGTAGTAGGTGTGTATACCGTATACGCCTTCAAATGTACAGTGCGCCCAAATCGATATGCTTTTTTTAACTAAGGATTTCCAGAGGGTTGCGTTGTAAATATCCCTGATATGTATGATAAAAGCAAATCAAAAAATTCTCTCGGAAATATAGCCAGCTACAGCTGTTATGTAGGCTGCTACCATATGACGAGCGTGGGGAAGAAAAGGCTGCAAAGGCATCAACCAAAAACCAGTTTCTTTTACCCATGGTGGTCAATAATAACTGATGTGGTACAAGCACCACTGCATGATTGAGACCACTAATGGCAGAGCCATCCCATTTATAGCCCTTTCCTCTCTCTCGCTTGATTGATTTTCTTACCTCTCCCTGGCGTGCTCTTCGTTCCACCCACAGCATTTGGATCTCCATCATCGGTCCACCAAGTTTTGCACTAGTGGCAGAAGCAGAAGAACTCGGCTTGTTCTTCGGCTTTCATGAACCGAAGCGTATCGCAATATACCAAAGCTTTGGTGTTGCAGTGATCATAGCCAAGGGCCGAGCAGTGAAAGAAGCTGGTCATGATTTTATGGAGTGCCATGGAGGGAGGGGTAGAATTATGGATCCAAATTCTTCTTTCCGACAACAACTAGTCCTCTTGGCGTCCGGCCTGTATAATTTTAGGAAAAGAGAGATTTCCGACGGAAGAATCAGCAGGGACCATGTACTGTTGGTCACCACGTATGAAACATGCAATAATCACCTCCACCATTAACCTCTCTCGCAGCAACCAGAAGGTAAAAAAGCAATGCCTCCTCCTCCTCCTCCTCCTCCTCCTCTTTTTTCAAAGATGAAGGATGACAATGGAGGGGACCAACAATGGCCATCGACACTTCGATATTGCTCTAGGTAATCTTAATTTCCCATTTGTGTCATCCAATGTCTCCTCACCTCCTCCTCCTTCTCTTCCATGGTTACAGTTTTTACAGGGAAGGAGTAAAACCCGGATCTTTGGTGACACTTAATCAACACCTCAAGAAAACAAGCGGGCATGCTGCTACCCAAGGAATAACTTTTGACTTCGGATCTCTTTCGGTAGGACCCGGCGCAGAATACTGTGCCATGTATGGGAATGAATGGTGCAGTGGCCAGAGCAGATGGTTCTGAGGTTTTTGATGGTCGTCTTCTGCGCGTGCATGCACTAGGGAATGAGCAAATGGGCATATATTTAGTGCAGAGCCACAGAAGAACCGTGGGTTGCAGAGTTATAAAAGCATGGAGCAGAAACCTTAAGGCTTTGGATGCTATAGATTTGGCTGGGGCATCAACTGGAAAGAGAAGCTTCCTTCTGAACTCCAAGCGAATGGTGGCTTCTGCATGCTGGGTTCCATACTGTCATGTGCAACCACATGACCTGTTCCTACACCCACTTTCAAAAGCTGTGAAGCTATGAATGAATCATTGAAAAAGGTAGCTATAAACTGATACATTTACTTAATCCCTTCTCCATCGTTGGTGAACACACATCTTCCAGGGAGAAAAAGAAGAACTGGTTGATGAAGAAAACCCAAGTGTTTTACGTGTCTCCTTCTACAGTGCACTGGGAATGATCATTCAGTGGTCCTATCATTTGAATCGAAATGTACCATTCCAGCTGTAACCGTGGCCCTAACTCTCAAAGAGCAGGGACCATGAAGATCCTCGAGCTCATCTTTTACCGTCACTGTAAGAACACACCGTCCTCTCGCTGTAAAACGCAGAAACCACGCATCCCTCGTGAACTTTCTTCAAAGAAGCAAGATCAAGATCCTGAGATGATGGAGATGAGAGAGAATCTGCAGCGATGGAAGCTTGCTTTGCATGTATCGCTGTCACCGACCTTGATGCCCTCCCCTCGTTGTAGTTTTCACTGCCACTATTGGCACGCTTGTGTACAGTGTTGGATGGTACGGGGATCGCAAGTTGATGCTGCGAGAGCGAGCAGGCGTGAGCTTCTGGGCTTCATATCATTTGGAGAATGCTCTATCTTTCCTTAGTTTATATGTGTAATTATACCCCATCCCTCTACCTATTATCTCAACTATCATGACATCATACCTGCACGACTGCAGCTGAGGTCTTCTTCAAGTTAAATCAGCATGTATGAACAGATATATACTGATCTGGAAAGTGTGTTGAACCTTTGGGGTTTTACAATGGAATAATGTGTTAATCCTTACACTGAAGTTTTTTAGGCTTTTTGAAGGCATGTTTCTACTAAAATTTAGAATATAATAAGTACAAAGATTATTGAACTTTGACGAGATTTTTATGATTTTGTAGATATAACTTTACTATCTATGTGTCGTAAACACTTCATAACATAAACATGCCACAATTTCTCTTATAACTCTACTGTATCGTGGTAGAGAGCACTAAGAGTGTTGATGATAGGGTGTGCAAGGGATGATAGTAGTATGGGATGTAGGAAAGA